ATAATGATTTTTTTTAGGATTTTTATCAGGATTTTTATCAGGATTTTTTTAATGATTTTTTTTAGGATTTTTATCAGGATTTTTTCTATGATTTTTTTAATGATTTTTTTAATGTTTTTTTTCAGGATTTTTATCATGATTTTTTTCATGATTTTTTTCAGGATTTTCTTCAGGATTTTTATCATGATTTTTTTAAGGATTTTTTTCAGGATTTTTATCAGGATTTTTTCTATGATTTTTTTCATGATTTTTTTCAGGATTTTTATCATTATTTTTTTCAGGATTTTTTTCAGGATTTTTATTATGATTTTTTTTAGGATTTTTTTCAGGATTTTTATCATGATTTTTATCATGATTTTTTTCAGAATTTTTTTCAGGATATTTATTATGATTTTTTTCAGGATTTTTTTCATGATTTTTTTCAGGATTTTTATCATGATTTTTTTCATGATTTTTATCATGATTTTTTTTTGGATTTTTATCATGATTTTTATCATGATTTTTATCATGATTTTTTTCAGGATTTTTTTCAGGATTTTTTTATGGATTTTTCTAAGGATTTTTTCAATGATTTTTTTATGGATTTTTTATGGATTTTTTATGGATTTTTTTAACGATTTTTTTTAAGGATTTTTTAAAGGATTTTTTTATGGATTTTTTTATGGATTTTTTTATGGATTTTTTAAAGGATTTTTTAAAGGATTTTTTAAGGATTTTTTTAAGGATTTTTTATGGATTTTTTTATGGATTTTTTAAAGGATTTAATAATAATAAAAAATTCATGGAAAGAGGATGCAGAATTTTAATAGAAGAGTAAAGTGAAATTGATAAAAGAAATTAAATTATTTTCTTTATCGTGCATATTATTGTTTGATTTTTTCTGAATTATTTCTGCATTCTTTCCATTTAATAATCAGCAATATTTCTCTAATTAATCATGAAGATTAATAAAAAACTTGAGGGAAAAAGGATGGAGAAATTTAATTGAAAAATAAAGAAATAAATGGTAAAAAATTAAATTTGTTTTGATTTTTTTCATGATTTTTTTCAGGATTTCTTTCAGGATTTTTATCAGGATTTTTTTCACGATTTTTTTCAAGATTTTTATCAGGATTTTTTTTATGATTTTTTTCAGGATTTTTATCATGATTTTTTTCAAAATTTTGTTCATGATTTTTTTCAGGATTTTTATCATGATTTTTTCAGGATTTTTATCATGATTTTTTTCAGGATTTTTATCATGATTTTTATCATGATTTTTTTCAGGATTTTTTTCAGGATTTTTATCATGATTTTTTTCAGGATTTTTATCATGATTTTTTTCAGGATTTTTATCATGATTTTTTTTAGGATTTTTTTCAGGATTTTTTCTATGATTTTTTTCATGATTTTTTTCATGATTTTTTCAGGATTTTTATCATTATTTTTTTCAGGATTTTTTTCATGATTTTTTTTAGGATTTTTATCATGATTTTTTTTAGGATTTTTTTCAGGATTTTTATCATGATTTTTATCATGATTTTTTTCAGGATTTTTTTCAGGATTTTTTTCAGGATTTTTATAATGATTTTTTTCAGGATTTTTTTCATGATTTTTTTTAGGATTTTTATCATGATTTTTTTTAGGATTTTTTTCAGGATTTTTATCATGATTTTTATCATGATTTTTTTCAGGATTTTTTTCAGGATTTTTTTCAGGAATTTTATAATGATTTTTTTCAGGATTTTTTTCATGATTTTTTTCAGGATTTTCTTCAGGATTTTTATCATGATTTTTTTAAGGATTTTTTTCAGGATTTTTATCAGGATTTTTTCTATGATTTTTTTCATGATTTTTTTCATGATTTTTTTCAGGATTTTTATCATTATTTTTTTCAGGATTTTTTTCATGATTTTTTTCCGGATTTTTTTCAGGATTTTTATTATGATTTTTTTTAGGATTTTTTTCAGGATTTTTATCATGATTTTTATCATGATTTTTTTCAGGATTTTTATCATGATTTTTTTCAGGATTTTTATCATGATTTTTTTCATGATTTTTATCATGATTTTTATCATGATTTTTTTCAGGATTTTTTTCAGGATTTTTTTATGGATTTTTCTAAGGATTTTTTCAATGATTTTTTAATGGATTTTTTTATGGATTTTTTATGGATTTTTTAACGATTTTTTTTAAGGATTTTTTAAAGGATTTTTTATGGATTTTTTTATGGATTTTTTTATGGATTTTTTAAAGGATTTTTTAAAGGATTTTTTAAGGATTTTTTTAAGGATTTTTTTATGGATTTTTTTATGGATTTTTTAAAGGATTTAATAATAATAAAAAATTCATGGAAAGAGGATGCAGAATTTTAATAGAAGAGTAAAGTGAAATTGATAAAAGAAATTAAATTATTTTCTTTATCGTGCATATTATTGTTTATTTTTTTCTGAATTATTTCTGCATTCTTTCCATTTAATAATCAGCAATATTTCTCTAATTAATGATGAAGATTAATAAAAAACTTGAGGGAAAAAGGATGGAGAAATTTAATTGAAAAATAAAGAAATAAATGGTAAAAAATTAAATTTGTTTTGATTTTTTTCATGATTTTTTTTAGGATTTCTTTCAGGATTTTTATCAGGATTTTTTTCACGATTTTTTTCAAGATTTTTATCAGGATTTTTTTTATGATTTTTTTCAGGATTTTTATCATGATTTTTTTCAGGATTTTTATCATGATTTTTTTCAGGATTTTTATCATGATTTTTTTTAGGATTTTTTTCATGATTTTTTTCAGGATTTTTATAATGATTTTTTTCAGGATTTTTTTTAGAATTTTTTTCAGGACTTTTTTCAGGATTTTTATCAGGATTTTTATCATGATTTTTTTCAGGATTTTTATCATTATTTTTTTTAGGATTTTTTTCATGATTTTTTTCAGGATTTTTATCATGATTTTTTTTAGAATATTTTTTATACTTTTTTTAGGACTTTTTTCAGGATTTTTATCAGGATTTTTATCATGATTTTTTTTTCATTTTCTTCTTCATTCTTTTCTAAGGCTTCTTTCTGTAATTGTCTTCATATTTTTCTACATTTTTTAGCTATTGTTTCAGCATTTTCTTCTAATTTTTTATCAGGGTCCGTAACGAAGGAAAAGTATCGTGTCGGTATCGTGTCACGTTACGGTACGATTCTACCACGGAGAAAAGTATCGTGTCGCGACACGATGCCGACACGATAGGATTTTCGTGTCACATCGTGTCGGTGGCGGTCCCTGATTGAAACTCTTGGGCTAAAAACCGGAGAAATTTATTTCATTACTGAAACTCTTGCGCCAAAAACCTATTATTTTTATAAAATTAGCAAAAAAATTTTTTTTCGCCAAAAAATTAAATAATAAAACTCTTGCGCCAAGAAATCTAGTAAATTTCATAAATTTATTGAAACTCTTGATCGTAGAAATTGAGTAATTTTAATTAACTATTCAAACTCTAGCGCTAGGAATGTTAATTATTAAAAAAAATTCGTTAAACTCTTGCTCCAAAAATTCAGGAATTTTTTTAAAATTAGTTAAACTCTTGTGTCGAGAAATCAAGAATTTTCATAGAAGTAATTAAAGTCTTGCGCCAAAAATCCAATTAATTACATTAAAATTAGTAAAACCCTCGCGCCAAAAAACTAATTAATTTTTAAATTTTAATTAACTTGTGAAATTTTATAATATTAGTTGAACTCTTGTGCCCAGAAAAACTCTTGCGCTATGAATTAAAATAATTTGATGAAATTAGAAAAAATTCTTGTACTCAAAAGTTAATTAATGGTATATACCTAATTATTAAAATTCCTCAGCCCAGATATTATCTTATTTTAATTATTTATTGAACCTCTTGCGCCAAAAATTCCAATTAATTTCTTTGAAATCAGGAAAACTTTTCCTCAAAAAACCCAATTAATTTTTTGATTTTAATTGACTGTTAGAATTTTATAAAATTAATTGAAATCTTCAACGTAAAAAAACTTTTGCGCCATGAGTTTAAATATTTTTATAAAATTTGCAAAAAATTCGTTAAACTCTTGCTCTAAAAATTCAGAAATTTTTTTAAAAAATTAATTAAACTCTTGTGCCAAAAATCCAATTAATTACTTTAAAATCAGTAAAACTCTTGCTCCAAAAAATCAATTAGTTTCAAAAATATTAATTAAACTCTTGTGCCAAAAAAATTAATTAATTTTAGAATTTTAAAAAATTAGTTGAACTCTTGAGCCAAAAAAAACTCTTGCGCCATGAATTAAAATAATTTTATGAAATTAGAAAAAATTCTTGTGCTCAAAAGTTAATTAATTTTATATAATTATTAAAATTCCTTAGTCCAGAAATTTGTTAATTTTAATTTATTATTGAAACTCTTGCGCTAAAAATTCCAATTAATTTCTTTAAAATCAGTAAAACTCTTGCGCCAAAAAAACAATTAATTTTCTAATTTTAATTGACCGTCAGAATTTTATAAAATTAGTTGAACTTTTGAGCGTAAAAAACAATTTTACTTCATGAGTTTAAATAAATAAAATTTGCAAAAAATCCTTAGAAATCAAGTAATTTTATATTATTATTAAAACTCTTTAGTCGAGAAATCCATTAATTTTTATTAGTTTAGAAAAATATTGGGCCAAGAAATTAAGTAATTCTAATTAATTATTTAAACTCTCGCAGCAGGAAATTATATATTATAATTATTAAAATTCTTCCACGCCAAGAAATCAGAATTTTTTATTTTTCCAATAAATTGTTTACATAAATAAGATAAAAATGAATATTAATCTTATTAAATTTAATTAAATTTAATTTTTCTAACAATAAGATTTTTTTATATTTACAAAAAAACAATCCTCATGGAATATCAAAGTGAAATTGAAAAAAATACTCTCTCCAAATTGAAATGAATCACTAGATATTTATTTTGATTTTCCACCTCTTTCTTTTTTTTTTTTTTTTTAAGTATAAATATCAACTTTACCTTCACTTGTTCAGTTACACCTAAAATTGGCTGATTTCCCTTTATGCTAAATCGAATTAAAACAACAATTGTCACGTAAGAATTAAATAGCAATCCAATAAGGGAGAATATTAAATGCACATTCGATGGAACTAAACGATCTCCCGAGAAATAATAGGGTCCCAATCCAAAAACACGAATTATGTAAAATGCCGGCGATATTGCTTGAAAAAGTTGTGAATCTTCACCGCGAAATTTTATTTCCTCTTTATTATAATCTATCGTTTCTATTTTTCTTATACGCGATAGATTTATGGAGAATTTTTTTCCTTTCATTTTTTTCAATATTTGATTCTGAAAATAGAAAAAAAAAATTCTTTAGAAATTAATGACTTTTAGCATTTTTTTTTAAATATTTGATTCTGAAAAGTAAAAAAATACTTTAGAAATTGATGATTTGCTTTTGTATTTTTCCCTTGGTGATAATTTGTCAATTTTTTTAATTGCTTGTCAATTTTTTTTATCTTAAAAAATAAATTGTGATATTTGAATAAATAATGTGACAAGTGATTAATTATTGCTAAGGGTAAAAAAAAAATAATTCATTGGTCGTTCGATCAAGATTTTATCAATTTTCATTTTATTTTGCATATTAGAGAAAATTTATTTTTTTATAATTTTTTTTTTATTGCTGAAAAATGGAAGTAATCATTTATAATTTTTAATTTGATGTTAATTATATTTTTGTTCTTCAAATTATTTTATTGTTACTATACTATATTTTTACATTTACTAAATAATTATTGTACTAATTTTTAAATTGTTAAAATTGTTAAATTATTAAATTGTTAAATTGTTAAATTGTTAAATTCTTAAATTTTTAAATTATTAAATTATTTATATTTTTAAATACCTAATTATTTTATAAATTTTATTATTTTTCTTAAACTACTAAAAAATTGTAAAAATTAACTAATAGACAATTAGTAAATTTTTTAATTTAATAAATTTTACCCGTAGAAATAAGTAAAATAATTTTGTGAGCATTTTTTGGACTTTTTTTTCTTACATTGAAAAAGTATGAGAATGAATAAATATTTGAAACTCACATTTGTGGAAATAGTTTTTCGCTCTTTTCGTCGTTTCTCACTGGTTCCTTATCATTTTTCACATTCGTCGACGTTAAAGAAGTAATAAAGCAAAAAAAAAATTCGTATAAACCTCAATTTGCTTGTCGACCTTTCGATGGAAAAAGCAGTTTTACACTATTTTCTCTACACACAGGAATCGATAAATTATCAGAGGATAAAATGACACTGTAAAAGTTCTCTTAATCATATAAACATTGGTCAACAATTATTATTTACCTCTGGGAATCAATAAATCAAAAGCGACTCAAGTGCACGCAATTTTTTTTTTATTCCACATTCTTTATTTTACATGAAATATATTTAGCAATGTAAACAAAACATAATTAGTTTAAAATTAAATTAATTAATTTAATACAATTAATTTTAATTAGTCAGAATGTAATTAATTAAACATGAATTTTTTTTAATTTTTAATTTCTATTTTAAATTTTACAACGAAAAAAAAATTACATAAATAATTTAATTTCCCTTTTCTAAAATGTAAATAGTAATGATTTTTTTTTTTTTTGATAAAATCTACTTGACGGAAAATGAAATTAATTTAATAATCAAACATATCAAAGTTATTTATATTCAAATATAAATTATTGCGGATAATTACCGAATTTAAATATTAAATACGATGTTAATTGAATTTTACCAAACAAAATTTTATTAAAAAGAGAAAAAATTTAATTTACGAAATTACATAATCTTAAAATTAATTCAATTAAAACATTTCAAAATTGATTTTCGTAGAGAAATTAATTAGGAAGTTGAAGCAAAATTATCAGATACGTTGTTAGTAAACCAGATATCTAAAAAAGATTGTGAAATTAATCCTAAAGTAACGTTCCTTATTAATAAATCATAATAAAATTTTTTTTTGATAAAAATAGAATTTTTCGTAAAACAGAATTTTTTGAAAAATAGAATTCTTTTAATAAAAATAAAATATTTATAAAAATAAAATATTTAAAAAAGTAAAATATTAAAAAATAAAACTATTTTTAAATAATATCTTCCTTTGAGACTTTAGAAGATAGATTAATAATTTTTTTTTAAAGAATATGTACATTTTTTTCTTCTTGTATGTATAATTTTTTTCTAAATTTTCATTCTTCATTAACAATTTAAATATAAAAACTAGTTTATTGTGGAAATTTTCTTGATAATTTAAACTCACTTTTCGTAGCAGTGGCAAATTCACGTAGCAACAACCGCCTGCTGAGAAGTTCAATTTGTAATTCATGAGATGTATCGTTGATTCGAAATCCTGTGAGTCAATAAAAAAAGGAAAAGAGAAAAAAAACGGTCGAAAACAGATTTTACGATTCAATAAAATATTGCGAAAAATACAAATACAGAGCAGGAGAAGAAAAAAATGAAAAGAAAAATATGTAAAATTGAAAAAAATGTGAGAAATTCTTCTTCTGGTAATTTTTTTTTAAATCTCTAAAGTTAGAAAGATGGAGAAAGTAGAAGGAGTCAATTTTAGTAAGCCAAAGTAATTTTTTAAATTTTGTTGCAAGTGGTAAAAGTCAATTTTAGTCAGACAATGTAATAAACTATTGTTTTTAGTAGTAAGAGCCAATTTTAGTCAGACAGTACATTAAACTATTGTCTCTAGTAGTAGGAAACAATTTAGTCAGACAAAGCTGTAAACTATTGTTATAAGTAGTAAAGGTCAATTTTAGTCAGACCACCAATAAAAGTATTGGAATTAACACTAAATGCTTATATTTAGTAGTATAAGTCAATATTCGTCCGACCAATTCTTTAATTTATCAATAAAAATAAATTTCAATCAGAAAAATAGTTCGTTTACTGTAATTAACAGGAAAAAGCAAATTTTTATCAGAAAATACTTTATTCAGTAGTATAAGTCAATATTCGCCAGACTAATTTTTTAATTCAGTAGGAAACGAAAATTTAAATTAGAAAAATTGTTAATTTACTGTAATTATCAGTAGTAAATGTCAATTTTAGTCAGAAAAAAGTATTAATTTATTCGCAGTAGAGAAAGTCAATTTCAGTCAGACTAAATTGTTAAACTATTTTTATCAGTGGTAAAAGTCATTTACTGAAAAAATGGTTAAATTGTTGTTATCAGTAGTAAAAGTCAATTTTAGGCAGACAAATTATTAAACTATTTAATAGTCAGTATTCGCAGACTTATAGTTATAAGTAGCACTAGTCAATATTCATCAATGAAATTTTTTAAATCGGTAGTGAGAGTCAATAATTTACAGAAAAACTCTTTCTTTAGTAATATAAGTCAAAATTTTGTCAGAAATTTAAAAAAAAAACGAAAATCAGGAGTATAACTCAATATTTTGTCGGAAAACTTAAGAAAATCCAAAAATCAGTAGTAAAACTCATTTTTTTGACTGAAAACTTTAAAAACCGAAAATCAGGAAAATAACTCAATATTTTGTCAAAAAAGTGAAGAAATGGCAATCAGTAGTATAACACAAAATATTTTGTAAGAAAACTAAAAAAATTATTATAATCAGTAGTATAACTCAATATTTTGTCAGTCAACTTAATAAATTCTTATAATCAGTAGCATAACTCAACATTTTATCAGAAAACTTAAAAATATTCAAAAATCAGTAGTAAAACTCATTATTTTGAATGAAAACTTTAAAAAACCGAAAATCAGGAGAATAACTTAATATTTTGTCAGAAAACTAAAGAAAATCTGAAAATCAGTAGTACAACTCAATATTTTTTCAAAAAAGTGAAGAAATGACAATAATCAGTAGTATAATAATCAGTAGTATTTTGTCAGAAAACTAAAAAAATTATTATAATCAGTAGTATAACTCAATATTTTGTCAGTAAACATAATAAATTCTCATAATCAGTAGTAAAACTCATTATTTTGACTAAAAACTTTAAAAAACCAAAAATCAGTAGTAAATTTCAATATTTTGACTGAAAACTTAAAAAAACCGAAAATCAGGAGTATAACTCAATATTTTGTAAGAAATGTTGAGAAATGACTATAATCAGTAGTATAACTCAATGTTTTGTTAGAAAACTTTAAAAAATCGAAAATCAGTAGTAAAAATCAATATTTTGTCAGAATATTTAATAAATTTAGATAATCAGTAGTATTACTCAATATTTAGTCCGAAATCAGAAAAAATCATAAAAAAAATCCGAAAATCAGAAGAATAACGCAATATTTTGTCAGAAATGTTAAGAAACGACAATATTCAGTAGTATAACTCAATATTAAGTCAGAAAACATAAGAAAATCCGAAAATCAGTAGTAAAACTCAATATTAAGTCAAAAACTCAAAATAATCCGAAAATCAGTGGTAAAACTCAATATTTTGTCAGAAAACTTATTAAATGCCAATAATCAGTAGCTCAATATTTTGTCAAAAAAGTGAAGAAATGACAATAATCAATGGTATAACTCAATATTTTGTCAGAAAACTTAAGAAAATTCAAAAATTCGTAGTAAAACTCATTATTTTGATTAAAAACTTTAAAAAATCAAAAATCATTAGTAAATTTCAATATTTTGACTGAAAACTTTGAGAAACCGAAAATCAGGAGTATAACTCAATATTTTGTCAGAAAAGTTAAGAAAATCCAAAAATCAGTAGTATAACTCAATATTCTGTCAGAAAACTTAAAAAAATCGAAAATCATTAGTAAAAATCAATATTTTGTCAGAATATTTAATAAATTTCGATAATCAGTAGTATTACTTAATATTTAGTCCGAAATCAGAAAAAATCATAAAAAAAATCCGAAAATCAGAAGAATAACGCAATATTTTGTCAGAAATGTTAAGAAATGACAATATTCAGTAGTATAACTCAATATTAAGTCAGAAAACTAAAGAAAATCTGAAAATCAGTAGTACAACTCAATATTTTTTCAAAAAAGTGAAGAAATGACAATAATCAGTAGTATAATAATCAGTAGTATTTTGTCAGAAAACTAAAAAAATTATTATAATCAGTAGTATAACTCAATATTTTGTCAGTAAACATAATAAATTCTCATAATCAGTAGTAAAACTCATTATTTTGACTAAAAACTTTAAAAAACCAAAAATCAGTAGTAAATTTCAATATTTTGACTGAAAACTTAAAAAAACCGAAAATCAGGAGTATAACTCAATATTTTGTAAGAAATGTTAAGAAACGACAATATTCAGTAGTATAACTCAATATTAAGTCAGAAAACATAAGAAAATCCGAAAATCAGTAGTAAAACTCAATATTAAGTCAAAAACTCAAAATAATCCGAAAATCAGTGGTAAAACTCAATATTTTGTCAGAAAACTTATTAAATGCCAATAATCAGTAGCTCAATATTTTGTCAAAAAAGTGAAGAAATGACAATAATCAATGGTATAACTCAATATTTTGTCAGAAAACTTAAGAAAATTCAAAAATTCGTAGTAAAACTCATTATTTTGATTAAAAACTTTAAAAAATCAAAAATCATTAGTAAATTTCAATATTTTGACTGAAAACTTTGAGAAACCGAAAATCAGGAGTATAACTCAATATTTTGTCAGAAAAGTTAAGAAAATCCAAAAATCAGTAGTATAACTCAATATTCTGTCAGAAAACTTAAAAAAATCGAAAATCATTAGTAAAAATCAATATTTTGTCAGAATATTTAATAAATTTCGATAATCAGTAGTATTACTTAATATTTAGTCCGAAATCAGAAAAAATCATAAAAAAAATCCGAAAATCAGAAGAATAACGCAATATTTTGTCAGAAATGTTAAGAAATGACAATATTCAGTAGTATAACTCAATATTAAGTCAGAAAACATAAGAAAATCCGAAAATCAGTGGTGAAACTCAATATTTTGTCAGAAAAGTTAATAAATGACAATAATCAGTAGTATAACTCCATATTTGGTCAGAAAACTAAAAAAATTATTATAATCAGTAGTATAACTCAATATTTTGTCAGAAAAGTTAATAAATTCCGAAAATCAGTAGTATAACTCAATATTTGTCATAGACAAATTAATAATTTACCGTAATCAGTAGTACTAATCAATATTTGTCAAAATTTATTTTAAACAAAAAAATATTGTGATTTTTGTTTTCAGTATCACCCAACGGGAAGTTGCCAATGTTAACGATTGGTTCAATAATGGGCCATGCTTGGTACCCAATGGTTTTTTCTTGGCAAAACAATTGGCAACCATCATTGGACCACCAATGGTTTAAACTTGGGATGATCACGCTACTGCCAATGATCGGTAGCCAAGCATCGGGCCAATATTAGTTGCCAAGAAATTGCCAAGGAAACAAAATCGATTTTCAAAAGCTTGATTTTTTATTGGCAGCCAACAAAAAACCAAGGTTTTGAAAATTGATTTTTTTAAATTATTAATTAAAATATATTTTTCAAAAATTTATTTAAAAAAAAAAAAATATTTTTCAAAAATATATATTTTTTTTTTAAATTGATAGAACATATTAATTTAATTTGTCACCTCTGGTAAAACAAAGATGAAAGACTGATAAATTCCCTCACTTTATATCTTACAGTGGAGGGATAACTGTGAATGTCTTTGCGAGAGAGGAGCAGGTACTTATATAGAGCCAGTGAAACAGGTCACAAGCGAGAAGAAATCACTAGCATGCACTCTGGCGGCGCTTGTCGGAACTGTTTTCTGGCGCGCATGCATATCCTGACGTTATCGACACAGCGCTTGGCAACCAACGTTGCGCCACTTCCGACAAGCGCCGCCAGAGTGCATGCTAGTGATTTCTTCTCGCTTGTGACCTGTTTCACTGGCTCTATATAAGTACCTGCTCCTCTCTCGCAAAGACATTCACAGTTATCCCTCCACTGTAAGATATAAAGTGAGGGAATTTATCAGTCTTTCATCTTTGTTTTACCAGAGGTGACAAATTAAATTAATATGTTCTATCAATTTAAAAAAAAATATATATTTTTGAAAAATATTTTTTTTTTTAAAATAAATTTTTGAAAAATATATTTTAATTAATAATTTTAAAAAATCAATTTTCAAAACCTTAGTTTTTTGTTGGCTGCCAATAAAAAATCAAGCTTTTAAAAATCGATTTTGTTTCCTTGGCAATTTCTTGGCAACTAATATTGGCCCGATGCTTGGCTACCGATCATTGGCAGTAGCGTGATCATCCCAAGTTTAAACCATTGGTGGTCCAATGATGGTTGCCATTAATGTTCCAATAATGGAACGGAGTTCGCCAAGCATGGCCCATTATTGAACCAATCGTTTACTTCCCATTGGGCAGTAGAAAAAATCGATTCCAGTCAGACACCAATATAACATAGAAATTTTTTTTTTATTTATTTATTTTTTTAAATATTTTTTAGAAAAATAGTTAAAAACTTAAGAAGTAAAACTAATTACCATTTTTGGATTATGATAATACTGCCATCGTCGCCAGTTTAGTAAAATATATCCCATACGATTAGCCTGAGAAAATACAAAAAAAAAAAAAATTTTTAAATTACAAATTTTTTTAAAGAAATAATTATGTTATTATATTGTTATAACAAAAACAGAAGAAAACAGAAAAAAAAATCGTACCTCTGAACATGCAAAATGACAGGCGTAATTCAAAAGTGTAAGTTGTATAACAAAAGCAATTACCCAACCGCCCAAACAACAATAAATCGGAAAGTCAATTGTTTCATCGTCCTTTTTCAAATACTGAATGAAAAAATACATTCCACTCACTGTATGAAAACTCAAATTAAAAAGCCACAGTAATAATGACCAATAATAGAGTGAATTTAATTTTTCGCTCGCCTTCATTAAATCTCTTCTTAATTTTTGCACTACCTTTAAAGAAAAGAAAATTTTTCATTTCTCTCTCAATAGGTGAAAACAATTATAATCGTTAATTATTAATTATTATTAATTTTTTAATTAATAATAATTTTTATTCCTACTTTTTTATTCTTACTTTTCATTCTCTCGAAATTTTAATTACTCTAAGCTTAAATTAGTAAAAATGTTTAATAATTGAATTTAGTGACTAACTCTTTGCTTTTGAATTAGTAAATTTTACTATTTTATTTATTTATTTATAATTAGTAAATTTTACTAATAAATAGTAATTTCTACTAACTTTTTAGTAAAATTTACTAATTCAAAAACAAAAATTCATTTCAAATTTAGAGAGTTAGAAAATTCTGATAAATAATAGTGTTAATAATATAAAAATTAAATTATAGAAAATTTATTTATTATTTTATCAATATTGACAATAACAATGATAATAATAATAATAATAATAATAATAATAATAATTTTTAATACCTTTTGATCGACATCCGGCGATACCAAAAAATGATCTCTACTGGGACTTGAATCGCAGGTAATTTTATTTAAATGCTTAAATCTTTGTCCAATGATTGAGGTAATTCCAGAAAATTTAAAAACCGAAAATGAACTTCCAATGTAGGCAAACATATAACTGATATTTTGCACTGCAGACTCCATAAATGCGTACATACCCGTTTGATTAATATACAACCATATCAAAAAACTTCCAACTAATAAAATCCAACCGTAAAATTTTATTTTTTTATTTATCTGAGAAAAACCATAATTATTTGTTTCAAAATCAAAATCTTGAATCATATTCCAAATTACGACAAATTTATTTCTGTTCACTAATGTCATTATCAAATCAAATATTAATGTGAAATAATTGAAGAGTACCTGGAGAAGAAATTTTTTTTCAAGTTAAAAATTAAAAATCCTTCTGGAAAAAAATTTTCACAAAAAAAAATTATTTAGATATTAAATATTGAAAACTAGTTAAAATAAGATTAATTAAAAACTCAACGCTGGAAGATTAAAAAAAAAATTTCTCAAAAAACCGAAAAGAATGAAATAATTTTTTCGTTTTTTTAGAGAATTTTTTTTTTTTTTTTTTTTTTTTTTTTTAATGACTAAAATAATAAAATATAATAAAAATAATTAAAAAAAAACTAAAATTGAACTTTCCTTTGCTCGTTCAGTTGTGGATAGGACAAATTTCTTATCCTCCTCATTCAGAAATCGATGAAAAGTCGTGATAGTGACGTAAGAATTAATTAAAATTGCAGCGAACGTGTAGAATAAGTGTGAATTGGATGATACGAGGCGATTTTTATAAAATCGATAGGGCGCCAATCCAAGAACTCTGATTATGTAAAAGATGGGCGATACAGCCTCAAAGAGAGTCGAATCGGGTCCATGGAATTTATCATTAACTTGCCTCTTGGTCCAGAGGCCAATCTGATCGTAGTGGAAAATTTCCGTTGTGAATAATTCCTTTTCAAGTTCCATTCTCGTTATCTATACAAACGAAATAAAGAAAAAAAAAAAAGAGAGAGAGAATTTTTTTTTAAAATTATAATAATAATGAAACATTCACAATTTTTCTAAAAATATCAAATTTAGACAAAAATAGTATCAAAAACGTTAACAATTAATAAACAGAACAATTTTAATACATTTTTTGTCTCTGATATTTAAGATAAACATTTTTTAGCTAGAATTATTAAAAAAAAAAAAAAAAAAAAAAATTATTAAATGTATTCAAAAACATCAATAACTTCTTTTGTAAATAAATATTTAATTATTATTATCATTCCATAGGAATTAAGATTTCAAAAATTTCAAATTCAAACTTTTTTGAATATTAAACAACTTTGAAAATATTTATTATAAAAAATGAAAAATGTTCAAGAGATAAAATAACTATTTTTTATTATAAGAATATTGTTACTGTAACTTCTTAAAAATTATTTTGATATTCAATTATTTTAAATTTTAACTAAAATTAATTTTTAAATCAATTTTTATTAGAAAATTCTACGAGAATTCAATTATTTAAATACAAAAGTAAATTATTTATTAAATAATTATTCTTAATAATTAATAAAATATATATTGACAAAAACTAATTTTAAAAGATTTTGAATGATTTAAATATTTTGAAAAATTTAAGTTCTTTAAAATTTCTAATTAAATTCATTCAGAATTGAAATTTTATAGAATTTCAAATTAAAACGCTTTTGAAGTTCATTTATTTATGAAAATTTTAAAATACAACTTTTAAAGGAGAAGCAAATAAAGTTGCTCCGAATATTTCAAATATAAAAAAAAGTATTTATGGAGTTAGCAAAAAGTGTTTTTTTTTAATAATTAATATTAATACTCAAAGACAAAAATTTGTTCTCTTCTTAAATTCAAATCAAGAAAATGAAATTGAATCGAGAAAGAAAATTTTAAAGAAAAAACAAAAATATTAATTATTTTCCTTAAATTCTAAATTAAAAAATTTTTTTAGTCGACAATGAAAGAAAATTTCAAAGGAGAAACAAAAATATTAATTATTTTTCTAAAATTCTAAATTTTTTTTAATTTAAAAAAAATTCAAAAATGAAAGAAAATTTTTATAAATTTTTTTCTTAATTTTCTAAAAAGAAATGAGAAGCATTATTTCTGAGAAGAAACAAAAGAAATTCTTCTAACATTCCAAGATTTCAAATCTGTAATGAAAAAGAAATTTAATTATTCAAGAATAATTTTTTTGTTCTAAAAAATTTAAAATATTAACAAAAAAAATTCAAAATCTTAGAAAAATGAAATTTTTTAATTAATTTCTTTACAACATTTTTTTATATTCGAAAATAAAAGAAAATTTCAATGGAGAAACAAAAATATCAACTATTTTTCTAAATTCCAAATTATAATTTTTTTTTGCTCAAAAATAGAAGAAAATTTTCATAAAATATTTTAATTTTCTAAAAAAGAAATGAGATTTGAAAATTTTGTAAAATTTTATATTTTAAAGAATTTTATTTTGTTTATTTTTAAAAATTATCTATAAATATAATTGGATTTTTGAAAAAAATTATTCATTGAATTTACAAAAATTAATCTATTTAAATAATTCAATTCTCGTCCTTGAATTCTGATAGGAATTGATTTAAAAAAAATTTTCAGTTAAAATTTTAGAAATTAATTTAATATTTAACGCATTATAACAGGAATTTTAGGAATTGAGGAAATTAATTAAATTTTAAAAGGTTTTTAAATTAAATTCCTTACAAATTTAAAAGGAATTAAAAGTATAAAAATATTTAAAAATTTATTTAAAAAAATTATTATTTACATTATTTTTCTTTAAAAATTCTTAAAGTTTGTCAATATTTTTATTCAAAAATTCTAAAAAATGGAATTAAATTTTGGAAAAATTACAGTTGCAATTTTTAGAAATAATTAAATTAATTAATTAATTAATTAATTAATTAATTAATTAATTAATTAATTAAATTAATTAATTAAATTTCATGTTTTTCATTGGAATTATTTGAAATTTTAATTCCTGTCGAAAAATGAATAAGAATAAGTTTCTAAATTTTTGTTTAACAAAAGATATTGAAGTTTTCAATACTTTATTTTAAAAATTCCAAAAACTTGTTTTTTGAAATAATGTAATTAAAATTTTCTAAAAATAATTCTTCGAAAATAATTTTTAAAAAAATTAAAACAATTGAGAATTTTGTCAAATTTTTTTAAAATAAATTTTATTAAAATGAATTTTATTTCTTTACTTTTAAAAATTTATTTCGAAATATAATCGTATTTTTGAAGAATTCGAATTGAAAATTTGGAAAATAATTGAATTTTTAAAAAATGTAGACTAAACTATACGAGTTGTTCAAATAATTAAATTTCAAGAAAAACTGTTAATAAAATGGTGTTTTTAAAAAAACGGAATTTTCACTAAATTTCAAAAAGCAAATTTTTGAAAGTAATAATGGTTACGAAGATTTGTAGTTTTGCTAGTTAGGAAATAATTTCCGGTCGGAGAAAAATAAAACTATATTAAAATATTTTTTGGCAAAATAAATGGAAAGAATTTTTTTTTTTCGAATGAAAATAAAGAAGAAAAAGAAGAATTAAAATAAAGAAATACAGAAGAGAAAGTTGGAACTTACCAAGAATTATTCCCTTTAGAATAAAGCAGCTTAAATTCATGTCTTCAAATGACAATTGACAGTGGCATATATGTAGGTCTTGTCTTGTTCCGTAGTGTTGCTACAGTAAAAGAATAAATAAACGAAAAAATAATAAGAGACGTGCATTCGCGTGTCAGCCTTTCGCATGAACAGGAACGCTTGAGTATTACTCTATGTCAGAAGGGATGAATTATTGAGCAAGAAAAACAGTCTAAATAAAAACATTACTGAGAGAGAAAGAAAGAGAGTGTGTGTTTACGAGAGAGAGAAAATATTTTCAACAATGTTTTATGAGAAATTCCTCAAGAATGCAATTTGATATTAATTTTCTTCAATTTTTAATTTTCTTCACTGTAATTTATATACAAATAGCTAGTGAATTTTTTATTTGTTTATTGACGAGAAATGCAATTTTATAAAACGGTATAGGTGCAGTCAACTTCGGCGAGGAAAATTTTATACATTTTTAAATTAAATTATTGACTTTTAAATTTTAATATTGAAGGAACTGTAATCAGTACTCTCTAAATTTGAATTGGTAGATATTGACTAATTCACAGTAGATTTTGACTAATTCAAATAGGACTCATTCGTTTATTGTGAATTAGTCAAAGTTAACTATCTGAATTGGTAATATAGAGGCCATTAAATAAATTAGTAACGAATGAATTAATGAGTTTCTAACTAAATATGACAATAATAGAATTGGTTTTTACAAATTAAAAAGTTATTTGAAAAGTAATAATACATGTTATAAAATGCTAATATTGTTTCTAAAATAAAATCAAAATTTATGTTATATTTAAGAAAAATACTTTAACTAATTCAATTAATAATATAATGTTGAATGTGGATAAGTTACCAATTTTGATCAATTCAAATAAAGCGAGTACGCCTTTCGGCATTTGAAACAGGAATAAATTAATTTCTGTGCCCAATTTCAGACTTTAGAGCCCGAAAGTTTTTAAGATTTGGAAAGCTTGATTCTTCAAGAATCCCTTCTTTGATTAACACAATATTAAGTATATTGCGTCCAGCATTTATGTCTCCCCCCAAGTGACACGACAGTTGTTACAAACAGCGTATCTGTTGCGGTTACGAGAGACGACATTCATTTGCTGGACGCAATTGCTGTACATTTGCGTTGTGCAGTCTTTGTCGACGTTTACAATTATATATATATATTGCTAGTTTCTCCAAAAGGAACTTATAAATATATTTTTCTCGGAGACACTAGCAGTATATAAAGTTCCCACTCAGAGTGTATCCATTGTCATTAATTATTTTATTATTGTTAATAACAATTTCTCCACTTCTCTTGGCATGTGTTGAATAGAGGAGCTCTTTAGCTTTAATTTGATTACTTGTGCAATGAAATCGGTTAAGAAGAAAAAAAGTTATTTCCAAAATATTTCCATTATATGCCATACTATACTTGTAGAATTATTCTATATTTTGAAACAATTTTTTTTCTTCTTAACCAATTTCACTGCACAAGTAATCAAATTAAATCGAGATAGCTCCTGTCTCATCACACCTCAAGAGAAGTGGAGCAATTTTTATTAACAATAATAAAATAATTAATAACAACAGAGACACTCTGAATGTGCTCTAGATATACTGCTAGTGTGTCTCCGGAAGAAACTTGTAAATATGTTTTTCCCGGAGACACTAGCAGTGTATCTAGAGCCCACTTAGAGTGCCTCTGTTGTTATCAATTATTTTATCATTGTTAACAACAATAGTGGATCATATATAAGAATGTTATTGATTTATATTAAACAACTTTTTCTTCTTAACCGATTTCATTGTACAAGTAATCAAATTAAAGCTAAAGGCTCCTCTATTCAATATACCCCAAGAGAATTGGAGAAATTGTTATTAACAATGATAAAATAATTAATAACAACAGATACACTATTAATGGGTTTTAGATATACTGCTAGTGTCTCCGGAAGGAAGTTGTAAATTATTTTTTACAGACACTAGTAGTACATCTAGAGCCCACTCAGAGTGCCTCTGTTGTTATCAATTATTTTATCCTTGTTAACAACAATAGTGGATCATATATAAGAATATTATTGATTTATATTAAACAACTTTTTTTCTTCTTAACCAATTTTATTGCACAAGAAATCAAATTAAAGCTAAAGAGCTTCTCTATTGAATGCACCACAAGTGAAATGCCGAAATTGTTGTTAACAATGTTAAAATAATTAAAACAATGGAGACATTGTGAATGGGAACTTTTCATATACTGCAATTATTACCTCTGAAAGGAACTTATAAGTGTATTCCTTTCGGAGACACTGACAGTGTATTATAAGTTCCCATTCACAATATCTCCATTGTTATTAATTATTTTAACATTATTATCAACAAATTCTGCATTTCTCTTGGGGTGTATTAAATAGAGGAGCTTATTTAAAATAATTTTCGTTCTTAGTGTCTCTTTTGGATACTTTGGGTAAAGTATCCATCAGAGACACTGGCAGTATATCCAAAGTTCCTATTCACAGTGTTCCCCTCTTAATTAAGAATTAAAAAAACAGAATTGTTTGAAATTTTTTTTATTAAAAACTATCAATTTTTTACAATACAGTTCACATTTTATTTAAAATTTTTAGGTCATTAAAAACAGATGACCCATCCCTGTAATTTTTAAATAGGTTTGTAAGTTTTTTAAATTTTTAATTGTTTTTTTATACGAAAAAACGGATTTAGTTTTAGTAACATCCAGGACATATTGCACTGTAAAATCTTCCCACACGAATATTGTCCTGAAATTTTATTTTAAAGATATTTTCTTTGGCGTTTTTGGGTACAACGTAGAAGAAAATACAATCAAACTTTAACTTGGAATTGACCGGTTTTGCAAAAATGCGTATAATTACTTTTCCAACTTTTGTATCATATTGTGCCCATGCAATATCATTTTTATGAAGACGTTCGAATTTAGTCATTTGTAATGATACCCTTCTATTCTTCCTTATCCATGCTGACGTCGACGTCGCTTTGATCCTCTACTTCGTTGACCTTTTCGTTGAATTCTTCGTCATCTTCATCTTCTAAATCAACTGAATAAAAGGTATTTTCAGTACAATCATTGACAGTAAAAACTGTTTCCATTATTAGTGACTCTACTTATTACTTTGGGTACAGTAATTAGTAGAGTCACTAATAATAGAAACATATTTTTTTTATTACTTACAGACGAATAAATCCAAATAGTCTTGATGTTTTCTTATTACTTTGATCTCCTCTGTATCAAAATCTTTCTCCTTGCGAACTTTAAAGTGGAAAATTTTCTCCATCCTTTCCTCTTCCTTTTCCTTGTTCTTGACCTCTTCCTTGTCCTCTTCCTCGCCCTCTTCCTCCTTTACATCGATTCCAACAGTCTGCGGAAAATTCTCGTTTGTCAGTTCGATGGGTTGATGTCGCAATGGCAATTCTTTGTTGCAAGATCGACGAGTTTGATATTCACGTGATCTGGAGATTAACAAATAATTTTCGTTCTTAGTGTCTTTTATGGATACTTTGGGTAAAGCATCCATAAAAGACATTTAAGAATGATAAAATAATTAATAACAACGGAGACACTCTGACTGGGCTCTAGATATACTGTTAGTGTCGCTGGAAAGAATATATTTTCAAGTTCCTTCCAGAGACACTAGCAATATATCTACACTGAAAGAATTAGAGGCAGGCTGCTGGCTTTTTATGTCCGAAATTAGTGCCCCTTGTTCATGGCTTGCAGCTCACCTCAAAAAAGCGAGCATCTACTCCCGAAAGGTGTGCAGCTGCCCCTGAATAGTTGCTGCTTACCTTTCGGGAGTAGATTCTCGCCTTTTTGAGGTTAACTGCGAGCTTGAGGCAGCGAACTCTAGCGGTACTCATATAAAGCCTGCAACCTGCCCAAAATTCTTTCAGTGTAGTGTCCATTTACAGTGTCTACTACCAGTGAGCACTTACATGTACGTAATGAATACTGATAAAATTTTATTTCGAACATCCTTATTTCGAATTTTGACCTCCGCTAACAGTGACTTAAGAGCTGTTAATCTCTCCTTTTTTTGCATCGCTTTTGTTCGAATTAGATTCGACAATGCGTCAGGAACACTATCCAAATCAATATAATTAAAATAGAAAGCAGCGACTTTCTTTGCCGAAATTGGTGTCAGGCCAAAAATATTCTTTACGTGAATACTTGGATGCAATTCCAAGAAGCTGTAAAGAAAGGAAATTATAAAAACGGTTCTATTTTTATTTATTTTAAAAAATATTTTTGGGTAAAAATATTTTTTAAAATGAATAAAAATAAAACCATTTTATACTTACATTCTGACAGCAATGTGTCAAGCCACTTGCGGCGACAAATAATAAACGGGAACTTTTTAAAACTGCTGAATAGTTCCAAACGACCGAATATATCGACCCAATGAAAAAATTTTTTATTATCATAATTTCCCCGCATTCCTAACGCACATTGCAGAATGCGTTGGCAATCTCCGAGGCATTGCAAATTATGATCGGCGTTTCTTATAAGAAATTGTCTTAATTTGTACACTTTGTTGGGGTACTCGTGGAAATAAAATAAATCGAACGCACTACTTAATTTTTCTTGAGGCATTTTGTTTAAAAAGCAAAAAAACTCACAATGGGTTTAACCACCACTCTTCACAATAGTCGTTTTCAATATGATGATCCTGTTTGAATTCTACAACGGACATTTGTGGTGAAAAATTTCAGTAATGGCTGTTTTCGGCACTCACCCAGGGGTAACCTTGAGTTTACTATTATCCAATCATCAAAAACATTCTGTTGGTCTAACCAATCACCATTAACCGGGAGTTAACTCGGGGCGAGTGCCGAAAACAGACAATGAAGCCACTGTCCGCGTCTGCGCAGAAGACATTATGCTGCCAATTTCTTGGCGGAAAATTTGAATGTCTTCTGCGCAGATGCGGACATTGGCTTTATTACTAAAAATTTTCACCACAAATGTCCGTTGTAGAATTCAAACAGGATTATTGTGAAGTTAGGGAGAATGGGCACATTATATATTGCTA